TTTGGCCACACCCCCCGACACCTGCAACCAGCCCAGACACAACCACTATGCTGCCACAGGAAGTGCCCCGGGCTCTCCCAAGCCAGGGCAGTGGGGGGCCTCGGCCACAGCCCTCTGACATCTGCACCCAGCTCAGCAATGACCAGGCCACCACTGGAAGCCCCCTGGTTTCCCATGCAGGAATGAGGGGAGTGCCACAGGCCTCAACCTCACCCTTCCTCCTTCCTCCTTCTTCCACCTGATTTCCTTCCCCTTTTCCCTCTCTCCTCCCCCTGAGCTGCTCCACAACATCATAGAACATAAAAAAAAAGATAATAATATTAACAACTAAATAAGCTTACAAAAAGAATCATAAGAATAACAATAAAAAGGGAAGAAAAGAAAGCAGGCACTCTGTTTTCTTTGGTTAATAACCACTGAAAGCAAAAACCTGCTTGGGCATGAGGAGACTATTTCACATGTATTCTGACACACCCTACTCAAGATCGGGTTCTTATCCTGTCAGAGCAGTTGTTAAATAGCCTGACACCTAATAGGAAATGCCTCAGGTAAGGAACTAAAGGAGAGAAAACTAGAGCACTGGTGTGCTTTAATTAGAAATCTTCCAGTCACCAAAGCCCTTGTGTGTGATCATAACTACCAAGAGGAGGGAGGGAGGGATGTGATCAGAAGCACCAGCCAGGTTGGCTAGCCTTCCTGTCATCATATATCTATCATGTTGTGTTTATCTCCATATCTTTATATTATACATGAGTATGTAATACCTACTATAATGCACAGTCATAATGACAATGTTAACCTATTGTTATACGTTATATAGGTATCATCACAGGGAGAGGTAAACATAGTAGGAAGATGAATGAAAAAAATTTACCAATTTCAAAGGACAGAGCACCAGGAAAGAAGCAGAGCCCAAATGGAAATTTTATAAAAAGTAAAATCCACATTGCTTCACAACTGGCACTGATGAACAGACATCAGTTTGAATTTTGTTTCTATAGGGGTTTAACACTATGATTTATCTTTCTTTTTTGGTGGCAAAGACACACTGAAGCATCAGGAACTACCTCATGCCCACACAACCACTCCTCCAGCAGTCTCTCTCCACGTGCGATAGTCTTTCTCAATTATTCACACCTTAAGGTGTTTGGGGATTCTACTCTGGGCCCAAGGAGGATAATGAATTCAAGTCTGCTTTGTTTTTCTGGTACACTGCTTTAGAGAAATAGCAGGCCATACCCCATGGCATGACTGGTTAACTTTATCTTATGTAAATACAGAAGGTTGTTGAACAAACTGAAAATTATAAATGTAGAATTCAAGAGTCTCAAATAGTGGGAACACTAGTGTTTCTAGAGTTGTTCCTATAGTAAATTGAATCCGTTTTTTGTTTTAAAATTTTTCTTTTAAAAACAGGCACGTGTGTGTGTGTGTGTGTGTGTGGGCACATGCATGCGTGCATGTGTACGTGTGTGTGTGTGTGTGTGTGCGCGTGTGTATACTTTCAGGTAGTTACAATTACCTGCTATTTTTTCCATTAATTTCTCAGTTTTCTTCCCTTTCCTCAGATATATTCTCTCCAGGAAAAACAATTAGAGCTTAGAAAGTTATGGGAAAATTGACTTTGAACAAAATATAAAATACAGCTTGGGCATCAATTTGTGAGTCAAGGAACATAGCAGACGTTCAATTCAAATTTTAAGCAGTAGTAGCACCTTATCTTTTGATTTTGATTTCCTTTCTTCTGATTTCAGGTAATCATTACAATCCTGAATGTTCTATAGAAAATGAATCATTTTTTAAGAAAAAACAAGTATTTAATTGGGATCATTTTTTAAGCTCTCAAAACAACTATTGAAATAACTGGGTGATACAAGTTCATGGCTGAAAATCACTCTTAATTGTCTTCTAGGTACAGGCCTGTCATAGCTGTGCCTTTTGCTCAGGTGGATTCATCTCCACTTTCACAGCAAGCACTAAGAACCATTGTAGTAAGCTAAAAATAGGTTGCATCCCACTGGGTCCCAGAAAGAAGACAGAAGAATAGTTATAGAGAAATATGCCCAACTCTCTCCCTCCCTCCAAATCAAAGTCCCACTTTTTCAAAACATGCTACTCACACCCTCACATTTAGAGACTCAAGGTTTTATTCAGATTGAGCTGCCCAGGCATAAAAGTATTTTCAAAAGTTAAACTACTGATGTACTATTACTACCGTGCATCT